ACTAATTACTATAGTCTATATAATATAGAGTATACTACTACTACTACTAGTACTGTAACTGTAGTATACTATACAACACATAAATGGCATTATTGTTCAAGGATACAGTTCCATAACAACGAAAAATTTGACGATTTGGGTAATATTGCATTTCTGCAAAATGTCCGTCGAATACATTGAAGATATGACATTTTTAACAGTAATTGAGTAACAGCTGTAATAAAAACACCAACACTTGTTGCTACACTGACCCGGAAGTAACGTGTGGTAGTACCGGATATGGACCTCGGTGTATATAAATCAAACTAATTGCATCACTTAAAATTAAACAGTACAACACGTAGCGTTACATTAAATCTATCGATATTAAAACATATGTATAAATATATGTATAATATATAATAGTGTTTTTATGTGAATTACGTCAGCTATCAACAATCAACAGGCTCGCACCAATGCGCTAATCATGGCTGACCTGGCAGAGACAATATTGTGTAATTTGGCAAGTGCAGATGCTATTGACTCATTAGATCTCGCTAAACAGCTAAATGAAGAGCATCAGAAGATAGTAGGCGCTATCAAAAGTCTACAGTCTTTAGGAGAAGTATGCCAATATCGTATATCTTACTTGTTATGTATTCGGCGTTTTTGCCAGTTGTCCCATTCGCTGCCATCCTGGCACGGACATTGCGGCTGAAAGGGTCGCTCAAAGTAGCGTTTATGCCCCAGTCACACATACACGACGCACGGCCCGCGCACTGAAAAATCAGCAATTTTGGCCAGTGCGTTGTCGTTCGCTAGGTGTGCGTCAGCATTCGTTACTCGTTCGTCGAGCGCGCTGGACCAACGCTATGCATTCGTTGTCATTCGCTCGTGCGCGGCGTGTGCGTCGGGATTTTCGTGCATGCTCAAAATTGTGCGCGGAGCTCAACGCATAAAGGTACACGCCAGAAGGACGCCAGACACGCGCAGAGCGCGCTGGACCAACGCCAGACCCACGCGGAGCACACGCTGGGTATTCGTTGTATGTTCGCCGGCTGAGGTGTAGCGAACACCTAGCGCACACCTAGCGCACACCTAGCGTGCTTCTAACGCATGTACAGCGAACATGCAGCGCATATGGGCGTGCTGAACGAGTGCTGAACGAGTCTGTAGCGCGCCCAGCGTTCTTCTAGCGTGTTCCTAGCGTGTACGCAGCGTGTAGCCAAGGGGCATATAAACGGGTCTCGCCCACCTCCTCATCATCACTTCTCCGCCGACCCTTATGGGTGATGACAGAGATGCCTGCTGATCGTGTCTCCAAGAACCACTTCAGAAAATGGAGGATCCCGACAGGCTGCGACTACAATACGAAATCGCGGTTCTCCAACATCAGCAGAACCTCATGGAACTGGCACTTCACCAAGTCCATGTCATCAAGAGAAGGAGAAAGAGAAGAGGTCAACGGAGGTTCTGGGTCCGACCGTGGATCGGTAGGCGACGACAGTTTGGCCTGTATGACCAGCTACTTGTTGAACTCCGTAACGAAGACCCGCGCGCGCAGCCTTCAAGAACTTCATGCGGATATGCCCCCC